CCACCATCCTCTTCCTCCTCCTCCCTTGGCTTCGCCCTCGTTCCTCCTCCTTCTCCTCCTCCTCCTCCTCCTCCTCCTCATCCTCCTCCTCCTCCTCCTCCTCCTCCTCCTCCTCCTCCTCCCTTGGCCTCGCCCTCGTTCCTCCTCCTCCTCCTCCTCCTCCTCCTCCTCCTCCTCCTTGACCCTCCTCGGTGGACCTGGGCCCCCCTCGCTGGTCCTCGGCCGCGCGCACGCCCCAGGGGAACACCCGGCCCCCGAGCCTGGCGGTGGGTAGCCGCACGAGCCAGTGATTTCATTTTCCTCGCACAAGCTGCCCAGCAGGAGGGCACCTGGATGCATGCACGCGCGAGACGAGCAAAGCTCGAGCGCCGCATCGGAGGAGGAAGGAGTCGGCCGGTTCATGACCTGGGGGAGGAGGCTGAGCACGTAATCGCCCAGTTTGAACGATTTCGCGCCTTTTGTCTCCAGGGCCCAGCGCTCATGGAGCAGGCCCCAGAGATCATGGGCCTCCAGCGTACTGCAGTAGCCAAGGCTCAGACCATCGAGCGGCAGCAGGCGGCCGCACGGCCAAAAGAATGGAGAGAACGTTTGAAGAAGGAGTCGAACGCAGGCTCTTCTTTCATCCACAGGATCAGCAAGTGGCGTACTCCTCCTCCCCCCGTTACGGGTTACTCTGTCTCCAACCTCGAGCTTGCTGATCCTCGGGAAGCGGCCGACAGGGCCGCGCAAGAGTGGTTTGACGTTTGGGGCTCCCATGGGCAAGAAAGCACGGGTCCCGCTGACCGACCCTGGGAGGCCGCTCGGTTTGCCCACCCGTTGGTTCACCTGGACCGCCAGCTGTTTACCAAAATATGTCTGAGTTTTCCTGCCAGGACGGGAATAGGTTCTGACCACTGGCACCCGCGCTGGTGGGCTTGGCTTTCGGACGAAGGCAAAGACTGCCTCATTCAGCTTGTGAGGTTTATCTCTCGCACAGCGCAGTTTCCATCGCAGGTAAGGTACATCATATATTTCCTTCTGTCGAAGGAGTCGGGAGGCACCCGGCCGATTGGGCTCCTCCCCTCCCTCATGCGTGTAGTCGAGCGAGCACAGTCAGGCCTTTTTCACGACTGGGAGCGCTCGGCCAAGCGCAAATATGACTTCGGGGGCCCTGGAGGGGGCTCCGAAGAGGCCGCGCGGCACCAGATGGTGCATGATGAAGGGGCGCGTGAGGGGGAGGTGTCGGTGACGGGGGTGCTGGATCTGTCGCGTGCGTTTGAACATGTAACCATGAGTGCCCTGTGGGCGGTAGCCCCTCTGCGCGGCTTTCCTCAGCAGCTAGCCAAGCTGCTCATCAGCATATACACTTCCACCAGGCTGGTAGCCTTTCGAGGGCTCCTAGCCAAGAAGTCGATGCAAACGTTTTCGGCCGTCGTGGCGGGATCGATCGGAGGCATCAGGGCACTTAAGATGGTGGTGCTACAGGTCACCGATGCTATACATCAAGCCTGGGGGGCTCGCCTCCAGATGAAATTATTCGTTGGCGACCTCAGTATCCAGGTTCGAGGAGCGTTGAGATGTCTCACTGTTTTGCAGGCTGCGGTCACTTTCTATATCCGTGAGATCGAAGGCACCTGGAGCATCCCTGTCTCCCGTGGTGCCCGCGGCAAAGGGTACATCCTCGTCGCCGCGGCCTCGGCTCGGAATCGCTGCGCCGCTTGGGCCAAAGACCTGGGCCTTGCCATCGCCGACACTAGCTCACAGCTGGGAGTGGATAGCGCTGGAGGCGCTGTAGTTCGAAAAAGAAAGAAGATGCAGAAGCGATTTAAGTATGCATGCCAGCGCAAGGCTAAATTAAAAGCCCTCTCGAAGCAAGGGGCCCGCCTCGCCAGGGTTGTCCGCCAAGGGGTGATCCCGTCCGTGACCTACGGGTCGAGCTGTTTAGGAGTCTCGCCTGTTTCTCTGAACAGAATGCGCGTCATGGTCTCGGGTAGCCTGGGCGGTAGCGCGGTCGGAAGAGACAGAGTCCTCCGACTTTGGACGCATCAAGTTGATCCTGTCGTCGAGGGATCACAGAAGCCGCTATGCATGTGGGCCACGCAGGCGTGGAATGGAGTTCATCATGTAGACATGGCCAGGGCTTGGCGCAGGGAGATGTCCCGAGAAGCGGCCAGACGGAGTCGAACGCTGGATCGCCCCTGGAGCCAAGTTCGAGGGCCAGCCTCTGCCTGTAATCTCACGTTGCAGCGGCTTGGCTGGTCCTGGCCTAGCTGGCACACCCTCCGCATTCACACGGGTGAGATGTTTGACATGCGCCGATCTGCGCCCAGCACGCTGCGCAAGTATATTTACCTTCGTTTAGAGGATCAAGAGCTCACCGACTGGGCAACACAGCGAGGCATGCCCTTTCGGAAGCCCTTCCTCGAGCCTTGTCGCGCAGCAGTCAGGACAAAAAAGAAAAAGGGCCAGAAGCAATCGGCTATGCTGGCTTTCCTGCGCAGTGATTTTTGGACTCAAGACAAGGTTTGGAGAGCCGGCCACTCAGAAGATCGAAGTTGTCAAAAATGCGGGCACGCCATCGGGAACCAGCATCATAGGTTTTGTAGGTGCCCAGCGTTTCAGGAGCAGCGCCAGGCTGCAGGTGAATCCTATCCTGACATCATCCACCGCGCCTCCTCCTCGCGCTCCTCTTCCCGTCTCTTTTCCAGGGCTCTCGCGCCTCGCCCACTGGGGGACCCCTTCATGGACGTCACGCCCAGCATGGAGACCCTGGACCCTGAGTATGGGGACGATCCCCTACTCTCTGGACTGGCCTACTCGGATGGGTCGGGGGTCGGGGTCTCAGGGTTGAAGGCGTTCGGGTGGGGCCTCTGTTTTGTTGACCAGCATGGAAATATACGCAAAGCAATGCATGGCACGGTACCAGGAGTGAGGCAGGCACAAAGTGTACTTAGAGCAGAATTGCATGGTTTTCTGAATGTTCTTCGGCACGGCACTGCCCCGCTACAGGTGGGGATCGACAATTCTACTGTCGTTCGGGGCTTCAGGCGAGGCCCAGCATGGTGCCGCCAAGCCAGACGACCGCATGCCGATTTATGGCATATGATTTGGAATGCGATTGAAGATTCGTTCGCGGGTGAGGGGGGCCTCGTCGTCGTCAAAGTAAAAGCGCATTCCAAGAAGGCCCAGGCCCAGCAGCTCGAGGGACTCGAGCTGTGCAACTACCTAGGAAACCAGTGCGCCGACCTTCAAGCGAAGGAGGGCGCCAGGCTAGACGCCATCCCGCCGCATATCAGAGACACTTGGGTGGCCAGATTTAAGGAGGTTTGTGCAGTCCTCGGGCTTGTCGGAGACATGACCTGTAAGATAGGCACATTCGATGACACCACAGGCCGACTCCAGAACGCCTCCCAGCCCCCTGGCCCTCGGCCGCGCCGTTCGGTCTTACCTCCTCCCGAGTCTCGGCATGTCCTTGAGTGGGACAGGGGGTCCTGGAGGTGTGCACGTTGCGCCAAACGGGCCCACAGCTACAAGACCAAGCTGGTGTTGTCTCGTAAGTTTTGCAGAAAGGGCTTCACCTCGCACGCCAAGTGGAAGAAGATAGCGCGTGTCGACGGGGCTCCTTTGGAGGGGCCAAGGCGACACAAGCTGTCCAGAATTAGCCATTACACCTTTTGTCGAGAGTGCGGCGCCTTTTTGAGCGCCAGGGCTTGTGGGTTGCTTACTGGTTGTCCTAAGGACCCGAGGGACCACAACGCCAAGACTCGACGTAATCGTCTGCTGGCAGGCAAGCATCCTTATAAGAATGACAGACTGCCTGGAGAGGTGGTCGCGCTGTCAAGAACCCAGGAATTAGAGTTTCTGGAGTCGATTGGGATTGCTGCCAGGGCCTCCGCCGCGGGAAGTGGCGAGGAGGCACACCTTTCCTCCGCCGCCTCAGGCGGCGCGGAGGACTGACCTGGCTTGACGCAGGTGGACGCGAGGTTCTCGCCCACGCTGTGCTCGCGGGAAAACCTCCTCCTCCTCCTCCTCCTCCTCCTCCTCCTCCTCCTCCTCCTCCTCCATGACTCCAGGGTCCGCGTGCGGCTGCTTGCCCCGTGCGCAGGCTGGCCCCAGCCAGGCCAGGCCGCGGCGTGCCGAAGAGCCCCGGGTCTGCGCAGGCCGTCCGGGCCCCCTCTCGCTGCGGCCGCGGGGCGCCTCGCGGCGGCTTGGCCGCTCGTCGGAGCCCCGGCGGGGCGCTGGCGCGCGGCTCCTCGGGCCCTGTGCCCATGTCATTCTCGAGCTCCTGGTGTCGCAGCAAAATCAGGACGCGATTTGTCTGTTCTTGCCACTTTCGGCCCCCGGGGAGCCCTCGCCAGGCCTCGGGACCGTCCAAAAAAGACTCGGGACGAAAAGCCGGCCCCGGGGAAAGGGTCGGGACTTCCAGGGACCGCGCGTTGATTGAAGAAATCAGGACGTCGCATGTCTGGGCACGAAGGGCCGTTCTGGCCACGGCGAGCCTCGGCCGCGAGCCGGGCCCCCGGACCCAGATTCCAGAACCCTTCCCGATCCCAAAGCGGTCCTCAATTTCAGCGTCCAGATTGCACCCCTGCTCATCCCCACCGGGAGAAATATATAAACCCAGACTTGCTCGCGCCGTGGCACGATCCACGACGGGATCCCGTTCGCTCCGGGCCGCGTTCGGCCTCCCAGGGGCCCTCGCAGGGCCGCGGGGCGCCGGGCAAAAACAACTCGGGATGAAAAGCTTGCTGGGGTCCAGATGTCTGGGGAGCCGCGTTCGGACGGGGCCAGAACGAGGATAAGTCCGTTCCAGAGCGTTCCGAAACGGTGTCAGCGTTCAGGAACGATCTGGGAAGGCCGCGGCGCCCGAGACATCCTCCAGAGCCGCCAGATCTCAGAGATTCGCGAAGAATTGTATCCTCACCCGAGTTCCGCCTCGCCCTGGCTTCGTCTTAGCCCAGACCTCTGGGGAGCCGCGCTGTGAACAAACACTACGGCGCCTGATGCCTGGGCCTCGGGAGGTGCAGCCCGCCGCCACGTCCAGCCTGGATGCGAAGATGAAGCGGCTGAACGGGCTGCTGTCCGACGGCCCGGCCCGGAAGGGTGCGGCCGAGCAAGGACGCCGCTTTCGTCGGGGGTTGTTGCCTCCTCTTCCTCCTCCTCCTCCTCCCCCTCCTCCTCCACCTCGTTCCTCCTCCTCCTTCTCCTCCTCCTCCTCCTCCTCCTCCTCCTCCTCCTCATCATCATCATCAGCATCATCATCATCATCCTCATCCTCATCCTCGCTCCATTCTGGAGCCCCTGGGGCCCTCTGGAGGCCTTGGTAGTCTCCTTGGACATCCTGAGGACACCTTGGGCCAGAGACACGTGTAGCAACACCCGACTTCGCTCTCCCTGGTTTCGGTCCCACTGCCGCCTCCGCTGCCGCTGCCGATGCCGCCGCCGTTGCCACTGCTGCTGCTTATCCTCTCCCCCTCAATCTATCAATTCGTCCCTGCTTCCTCGGTTCGCTGGGCGCCGTTATCCTCCTTCCCTCCCTCCCTCCCCCGCGCCCTCGCTCCGACTTGTCCTGCGAACGTGTAGGATGTGATGCGCACAGTCCGTACCCGTCTCGTTCAAGCCTTTCCAGCTTCAGGGAGTAACAGATCGCAAGCGCCCTCGTGTGCTGCGCGTCGCCTCCTGGTTGCTAGTGTGCACTTCGTGCGCGCTGGACGCAGTTTGGCCAGGGCGGCTGCGCGGCGGCGGCGGCGCGGGCCCGCCTGACAGCTTATACGGCGAACCCCTCCCGGTGTCTCGACGAGCTACCCCGCCTCAGTGCGGACCACGTGAACCTGACGGCACAGCTGCTCGAGTTGCGGGCCGAGTATTTCCAGCAGGCCGACGGTTCGAACGCATTTTGTTTCCAGTCGCTAAGCCTCGTGGTGAAGACCGTCGTGATGCAGGTGGTCAGCTTCTGCGCCATGGCCTGTCGACGCGATGGCGATGCTGCTGCCAGCGAGCTTGCAGTTGTTCAAGGCCGCCGGGACCTGCGCCGAGGCTCTTCTTCAGTGACCTCCTGCACGGGCGCGTGATATTCGTGCACTACGACGACGACCCGACATCTGGCACGAGATGATGTTGCTCTGGCCCGCAGACGCCAACCGTCCGCCCACGCGCCGGACTATCGCGACGCCCGACGGGAACATCCACGCAGAAGAGCTCGCTGTGGGTGCGGACGGGGACGAACCCAACAAGGCATCGCTGACCTTCGGTGCCTCTCCCACCCATCGGCGTCCGCCTGGCCGCGTGCACCGCTTCCGCGGGTATCCGAGCGAGGCCGCCGTGATGGACATGATCAGAAAGGCCCAGGCCGAACCGCGCCAGGTGGGGCCCAATGGGGGCGAGCCGCCCCACTTCGTCTGGAACGGCCATGCCCCCGACGCCGCCGCCGCCGTGAGCTCCGGCGACGCGCCATGGTTCTACTGGTGGCAGTTGGGCAAGGCGCCGGGCGTTGCACGCGAGGCGCCCCGCCGAGCCGCGGCCCCCCCGCTCGCCGACCCCCCGCCGGCACTTGGCGGGCGGCGAGGGCCTGGCTGGCAAGCCTGGGCTGCAGGGGGCCGACGCTCCCCCACTCGGCGGCGCTGGCACCAGGGTGCCGGTCGCTGTTGGGGCCCCGCCGCCAGGCATGACCTGGGTCTCCGCCGAGGCCGTCGAAGCCGAGTGCCAGCGCGGCGGCGAGGTGGCCCCCCTCGGCCGAAGACGCGGTCTGGGGCGAGGCGGGGCTCTATTGCGCGCCGGGCGGCTTCATTGTGCCGATCGAGCTGGCGCCGACGCCCGTCGGCGACCAGGCGCGGGGCGACCTGGGCGATGACGACGCGCGCCAGCCGGGGGCCCTCGCCCGCGACCGCGAGGGTCGCCGCTGCCGCGACTTCCGCGACGTCGCCCAGATGCGCCGCGAGGCGCTCAACGACTTCCTTCTGGTCGGCGAACGCGGCTACAAGTGGCCGCGCGAGAACATCCTCGAGCGCGGTGGCACCCCCGACGGCTGGCGCACCAAGTGGATGTTCGAGAGCGGCTGCAACAAGGACCCGGCGGCCGCCATCACCCACGATTTCCTCGGGTTCTCCATCGAGCTGGCGGGCACCTGCGACCGGATCGACGGTTTCAACCGGGCCTGCGTGGAGGCGGTCGAGCGCAGGCGCCAGCCCACGGAGGAGACCATGGGCAGCATGAGGATCGAGGGCGTCGAGCACGACATCGGGCGCTCGCCGCAGAGCGCCCACCGCGGCGTCGCCAAGGCTCGCCGAGGAGACCGAGATCCAGGAGCAGCGCTGCAAGGCCAGCGAGGAGAAGACCGCATCCTCTGGCAAGGAGGACAGGGGGTGAATTTGGGCCAGCGGTTGGGAGGTGGCTCGGCCCGACCGCTGTTTCGTGAGAGCCAGTTTGGTGGACCTGCTCCCGCTCTATCTTTCAGTGATGGAGCGCTGTCGTTCGCGGCGCCGACGTCGCCAATTGCTCCGCCCACTTCGCTTTGATTACCCCGACCGGTCCGCGCGCGAGTTTCGCGCGCCCAGCTGGTTGAGAAGCGCGCCCGCGCGCCCGAGACACCGCGGCGCGTCGGTGCCCGTGGGGGCCGCGTCACGCCACAGCGCGCGCCCGGGCGCCTCTCGTGCCGAATTGCAGTTTTCTTCGACTCGCCCGCCGCCTGCATCGCGCGACGGAGGCCCCCGCGGTGGCGTCGGCCCAGGGGGCCTGCCGGGAGCTTCTGGGCCGCCCGCGCCCACGCTGCGACGCGCCTTGCGAATCGAGCCTGGATGGCTTGCTGACCGACATGGGCCTCGTGGTCGATGCTCTCTCCTGGGCTTCGACCGCGCCTTTGCCACTGCCGCCGCCCGACTTCGAGGCGGACGTGGAGGTCGAAGGGAGGCCCGCGCTATATATGGGCCCTGTGCTCGAGCATGACCGCCCCATGTATATCGACCTCGCAAAGTCCTGCATCTCGCGAGGCTTTTTTCGTGCTGGGCAAGACGAAGTACGAGGGTGCGCCCGCGTTCTTCGTAGCCAAGAAGGACGAGCGGACCAGGATGGCGCCTGGCTGCCGGCGGAGGAACCGACGGTCTCAGCGTCTGCCCCCAATCAGCAAATTCTCCGCTGCCAGCTTCTCAGACATCGAGGTTCTGAAAGACACGCCCCTCTTCTGCGCGGGGGCTGACGACCAGAGTGCCTGCTGCCAGCGCAAGCTGCCCGCCTGCCTGCGGCCGTAATTATGCCTTCCCCCCGTCGTCGTTGGAGAGTTGGGGGTCCGCAGGCTGGGCGGGCGCCGCGCGCCCCCCTAGGCGCGCATCTGCCCGCGGCTCGCCGCAGCACCGACGGGCTGAAGCTGGGCGCTGCACTTCGCCAAGAGGGCCCATGAGCGCGCGCTGAGCCCCCGCGGCGCCCTGAGGCCCGAGCTGCGGTGGACTTCGCGCCAGTGGCCCATCCGCTCGCTCTACGTGGACAACGCGCTGGCGTCGGCCGCCGACCGCGGCGCCGTCGCCGGCGTCAGGCGCCCGGCGCCCCAGGCTCCGGAGGCGGCAGGGCTCGCCGTCCCCGACGAGACCGACGTCCGCGAGAGCATGCCCACGCTCGGGGGCCAGCTGGGGGGCTAGCCTGCACGCGCCTCCGCGTCGTCGGGCACTGCACCTTCGCGGCGCGGCGCTGGCGGGAGAGCCTGAGCTGCTTCAGCGCGGCGCGCGCCCTCGGTCAGCAAGGGCGCCGGCGCGCGAGGCCGCTCTTGGTTTCGGCGCGGCGGGGGCTCAAGAACCTCCGCGGCCTCTAGCGACCTCGACGCCGAGCGCGCCCTCTGGGTCTGCGTCCGGCTGGGGGACGGACGACGTCAAGGCTTTCGGCCACTTGCTCGAGCGGCGGCGCATCCGCCACGCCCGCGAGGACGACGGGCGTTGGCGGCCGCGCGGTCGGGCGGCGCGAGCGGCACTGGCGGCCCTGCTGGATGGAGGCCAGACACGATGCGATACCTACCATTGTTCATCCAGGAACCCATGATGAAGTCAGAAGAGTTCCACGCGCCGCAGAGCTGATCCTGTCGGACGCAGACTCGGGGGGGAAACGCCACGTCGTCCCGAGGGGGCAATCTTGCATTCGCACTCGCGCTTGCAAAAGGCCGGTGCCATGATATCTTCCAGTTCAGCATCCTTCGCCGAGGGGTAGTCCTCACGCCCGCCTCGGGCGCCCGCATCTAACGCCGATGGGTGCCGAGCGAGCTGGATGCTGCGGACCATCGCTGTCGCTCGGCCCCCTGCCTTGCCACAGGCCTCCGGACCGGAGGGAGGGCCATGTGCGCCGCAAAACGCAAGACACGACGCCGCCGTGCACGCCTGCCGCCTGCCGTGCACGCCTGCCGCCGCCGCGTGCACCTCCAGCGCCGAGCGCGAGCCCGACGCGAAGGCCCCTTTTCCGCCCCTGAGCCCCGACGTCACGATTGTTGCTTCATGCGTCGACCCCAAGAGGTCTCGACCCGTTCCCTGGCATTGGTTGTTCATCCCGAGTCGTTTCCTCACGGTCCCGACGCCCAGCGAGGGCCCCCGACGGTTGAAAATAGCGACGAATCTTCCGTCGCGTTGTTCCCATCGTTCGAAGGGGTCCGGGGCTGCATGCCTGAGGCCCCGCTCGATGCGCTGCGGCCGCCGCCCTCGAGGCCCCGAGAGCCCAGCGCTGGCGCCCGGACGGAGCGCCCGCCCACAGCGCAGATGCGAGGCAGGCAGCCGCCTCCACGAGGTGCGCCAGCCTGCAGCTGCGTGGCCGCCTCTGCGAGGTGCTCCGCCGCCGGTGCCACCGCCGCGCGCCTCGCGACCACCGCGGGCTGCAGGGCGCTGCGGTGCCCTCGGCTGCTCCGCGGCTCTGGCCTGGCGGCGGGGGTGGCCAGGCACCTGCAGCTGCGTGGCCTGCGCGGCGGGGTCACGGGCGCGAGGGGTGGCGTCCGCACTCAGCACTGCCGCGGCAGTGCACTCGCAACGCCAAGGACAGTGCGGCGCGGCAGTGGACGGCTGAGGCACTGGGCGCGAAGGCGGACGTCAGTGCTGCGGGCGCTACGGCGGACATCGGCAGCACAGGTGCCCACCACCGCGGTGCACCCTCTCGCC